TTCCTGCGCGCAAGTTCCACGGAGCCTAGCAAACTTCGTGTGAGTGTATCCAGAGCTCTCTGCTTCGAGTTGTTTTCTTCGGTTGACGCGACGGGCTCGCGTGTTTAGAGCCTTCAACCGGATTGGGCTAGAGGTTCGCGTGGAAGGAACTCTTGTCCGCTTTTCTTCTTTCCTGTCTGTAACTGCAACTCAAGCAAGTTTTCCTGCCTGCACCGCGACCATCTTCGGTGTAAGTAAAATAATCTTTAATCAACCGCTAAGCGTCCGTGCCTAATTCTAGCCCGCTGGCCTGCATTCCCCGACCCAGTGTGTCCGGGCTGCTGGCCACAGCCTGCCGCGCGCCCCCGAGGGCCTCGGACCGCTCCCGGCCCGCACAATCCAATCCTGGGGACCTCTGAGATTTGTTCTGTAGGATATCTCTTCTTTTTAGTATTTCATCCAATGTAATAGCATCCCTGTTGGGGTTGGAGTCCCATTCTCCTTAACAAGACAGAGTATGGCAAAAATGGAATGTAAAGTTAAGGCAGTATTGTTCCCTGGCAAATGGCAAATAATAGGTTATTTGCCAAACCCCTCTAAAGTTAGTAGGTCCCCATACATAGAGACACCGTGTCAAAAGTTAAATGTAGGTGTCAAAGCTTTACTATGTGACAACTCCTCCTGTACAAAGGCATTGCTCTGGGGAGGAGCAAAGGGAATGACTAAGAGAAAGATGGAAAGATTCTATAGGAAAATGATTGGTTTTGTTTTTAAAGCAACCATTTGATTAAAACTATAAGGGAAATTGAGGCATGCATCACTGTAACCTGTCCTATTTTGATTGCATGTTAGTAAAATTAAAAGGGGAAAATAGGAGTCATGATTTAAATGGGGAGTGGGCTTAGTGGAGAAAGCTTTGAAGTGGTACTATTAGATGTTGAGTTGAAGTACTAAATGTTCATCTTGTGAGCAGAGAAGTTCTGCAACCAAGTACCGTTTATTTGTACTAGGAGTCATGGCATTGTGAGAGAAAGCTTTTAAGGATAATGGTGAACTCTACGGGCACGTCCAGATGAGCGCGCACGTGCCTCTTGCCCCGCCTCAAACCCCTTTGAAGCGGGGCAAGAGGCACGTGCGGGAACGAAAAAATGTTCAGCTCAGCGCGGGGAGAAAATTAGACCCCTGGATATCCGGGGGTCTAAAAAAACTGATCCACAGAAGAGTGGAGTAAGGCACAGTCCCAGACCGTGCCAGGAGGTCAGTCCTCCAAAAGAGGTGTGAGCCAGAGTGTCTCTCTTGTTCTCCTGCTGCCTCGGCCCCTAGCGCTGTCCAAGGTAAGTGGGGTTGGAGGGGTAGCAGGGAGATGTGGGGAGCAGATCTGGGGAGTGGCAGGGGGGATGTCCCCAGGGCTGCAGGGGGTATGGACCCAGCCCAGCCCCGTGCGGCTCGCTAGTCCAGCTTTGCACTGGAATGGGTCGCAGGGCTCTGGGAGGCACGCACAGGACCCGTGCCTCCCGGAGCCCTGTGACCCACTCGGGTGCAAAGCTGGACTAGCGAGCCACACAGGGCTGGCCCAGGTCCTGCCGCGTGCCACCTCTGCCCTGCAGGCACAGCAGGGCAGAGGCAGGACCCGGCGTGGTGTGTGGGGACCGCATGCCGTGTCCAGCTGGGTTCTGCCAGCCCTGGGACCCCTCTGCTGCCCGGCTGGGCCGGGATCTTGGTGGCAGGACCCAGCGCAGCACGTGGGGACCATGTGCCAGGCCCAACTTGGTCCTACTGCCCTCAGGGCCCCTCCGCTGCCTGGCCGGCCGGGCCCATGACAGCAGGACCCAGCGTGGCACACGGGGGGACTACGTGCCAAGTCCACCAGGTCCTGCCGGCCCTGGGACTGCTCTTGCTGCCCGGCCAGGCAGCAGGAGCAGCCCTAGGACCAGCAGGACCTGTCTGGGCACGGCGCAGGAGCCACCAAGGGCCTGGCCCAGCTGGGCAGCAGAGGGGCTCTGAGGGCAGCAGGACCTGGCTGGGTCTGGCACGCGGTCCCTGCGTGCTGCACTGGGTCCTGCCACCATGACTCGGCCCAGCCGGGTAGCAGAGAGGCCTCGGGGCTGGCAGGAGCCAGCCTGGCCCCACGCCGGGGCCCCCTC